GCTCCAATAAGCTGGGAGGGGGGGGGATGAAATCAGTATCTTTATTTTTAGTAAAAAACCTAAAAATTACCGTGATACTTCTTCGGCTGGACTCAGTTTTATCGCTCCATCAATGAATATTTCGTCCGATTAATAAACAACCCCTAATTGTTGATATTATTTAATTTCAATTAATACACTAAGGGATGAAAGTAATGCCTGCTACCGTGACTCTACTACGTATATATTCTTGACCCGAAGAGCCTTATGGCTACCGCGGAGATCGGTATTCGCCCTCGAGAGAGTTACGTAAAAGCAACCCTGAAAAATTCCACCCCAAAGTACAGAAACAAAGTGGAAATTATCTACGTGAAATTCCCGGTGGGAGCGGGAGGAGTTTCTGAGGTTACCCTTACAATGCAAGTACCAGACCCCAGAATGTAACCGCAGTAACGTACGACTCATTGTTGAAAGGAACCAGAGTCAGTGTTGATAACCGTAGTACATACGTGGTACGCATATGAATTTTGGAATTTCACTTAAAAATGTACACACACTAGCGGAGCTACGTAACGGGTCTTAATTCGCGGATCAAAGCTGCGCTAGTAATATTTGCCTCGAAGTTGAGACCGCAAGAAGATATTAACATCCCTCTAATATTGTCCAGACGTGGTTAGGACATATTGAAACCGCATAAACTTTGTTCATACCATCTGAGGACTCGCCCCCTCTCCTCCCCCAACAAATATACCATTTGTTCACGATCGCGTTACAATCAAATCCTGGCAAACACTTGCGATTACGAAAGACACTAAAGAAATCTAAATCCAAGATCGAGGGAGGTCACGGTTCGAAGAAATTTGCTCCCCAGAATCCTTCGCTTTGCATAATACACACCTACCCACGGGTATGCCATATCGGAAGAAAGTGCGACAGTTTCTATCGAAACTGGCCTTTATCGTAACCGCAGACACAGCCGTTACCCTGACAAACTGCAGTTGTTAGACGTTTCAGGGGTTGAATTTGGCACCAAGTGGAGAAGAGCGGCGGTTGTTTAAACGCGAAATAGGAATAGGATAGGGTTGACATAGGTGAGTAGCAAGTGGAAGGGGAGGGGTCAAACTAATTCGATTCTAAACTCTGACCACACCGAGAGGACACATCCCACGCTGGACGCAGATGGCACTAACCGCGGTTAAATTCTGGAGCCGTAACTCTAATTACTCATAGACAACCCGACAACCCCGGGACCGAGAGCAACAGCTGCCTGAGAATCTGGTTAAACGTCCCAATGAAGGGTGGGATTTCTCTTATGATTTTCTCATTAAGATCGTTCGATTACTCTGGGTGAACCTTGACCCCACGTGTAAGAGGTATTACATTCTTACTAATGACCTATGACATTCGTGTGTTGCAGGTAGGAAAATTTTAATTACAAAAAAATGACTATGGACGTGAGCAAGACCGAGCCTAGTAAGAATGGTGCGACTCAACAGGAATGTGCTGGATGCGGTAAAACGATAACCGAAAGGTACAGTAGTGACGTAAATACGTAAATACATATATATACACGTAGAGAAGGATGCTCGTATGTTACATATGAATATGTTTAAAAGGTATCTGCTGAAAGCACTGGATATGTACTGGCACGAGGATTGTCTCAAATGTGGATGCTGTGACTGTAGACTTGGGGAGGTCGGATCCACCCTCTATACAAAGGCTAATCTCATTTTATGCAAGAGAGATTATCTGAGGTAAACAGTCTGTCAATCAATCGATATGTCAATAGCTATCGGGATCGATTGAATTTCATTTCTGGTATCGAGTGATTTGATTAGCCATGTGAAAACGGAAAATTTCTTTGTGCAAATATGACAGGACTGTGCGGAATAAAACTTGACTCTATAGACTTGATATTCGAAATGTGAAATTTTATAACCGAGAGTCAATAGCGAATCGTGTATGTGCAAAGGGCGCGGCGCGAAGGCAAATCGAATTTTACAGATGAGTTTCTCTTATTGAATATATATATACCTATATAACATATACGTATATCCAGTACGTATAGATAAGCATTATATAGGTATATATCCCGAACAAACGTGTCGTGCAAATAAACCGTGTTGAGATTACGAAGTCCCTAGGGGAAAACGCAGGTGCCATCGGGAACGCAACGAGCCATCGAAACTATGCTCTTTATTAATGGCCCAATATTTGACGATGATATTAGCGCAACCCCCGTGGAACGTTTATTGGTTCTCACCGCAAAGCTTCATCCCTAGCGGGAAAAAGCAATGTCGAGTAGCCTCGAGGATTTTTTCAAAAACATCGAGCGAACCCTGTATAACGTAAGATTCGAGAGTGGATTGGATGAATTATAATTATTTTTTTTTTTTTCATCCCTTAGACTATTTGGCAATACCGGTTACTGTGCGGCGTGCAGCAAAGTCATACCAGCCTTCGAGATGGTGATGAGAGCAAGGGCAAATGTTTATCATCTGGAATGCTTTGCCTGTCAGCAATGTAATCACAGGTAACTATAGACTCGAGTAGGTATTAAATAAATAGAAAAAACGGGAGGTGGCTGCTCTTTGATCATCGCCGGGGGTAGTTTAGTGGATGCGAATAAGGGCAATACATACGAGCCGTGTCCGCATTAACGCTGGACGCTCGTTTTCAAAGGAAAGTTGATCCGGGCTTTTGTTATTTATTAATAACAATACGTTCCGTAATTAAACATTCACACCCCCTAGCGGGAAGAGTCTATATATGTATATATTTCTCGTGGCAGCTCATCCGCATAACAATTTAATTCTTCCCCCTCTGAGCCCCCACGCTATCCACAACCAGCATCTACTCCTGACTCTCACACCCACCCATCCACCCAACCAGTTCATCCCAACCCCGAACCCAAACTCTCCTTTGCTTATACCTAGGCAGCATGAGCTACCGGCTCCGCGGGCTGCTACTAACTTTGCAACACTTTGCTTACTTATTCGCAACAACTGAGTTAAGCTGAAACGCCTGAAACTCGTTCGAGTTCAGACTTAAGGCGAAACACCTCGCTCTACCGGTTCTGCAGTCGAGAGATAATTGCCGTGAGAATCAGAGGGACTTCAACCCTTTTCTACCATGTAGACGTCTTCGTGTCTTCGGAATTTAGAGGATACACGTATATATCTATATATGTGTGTATACAGGAATATTCAGTAGAGACGCACCACTTGAAGTTAGCCCGTCCATTTGATTTTTACAGTAGTCCTATGTTCAGGTGGTGGGTTTCTACTGAATAACTCTATATGTAGGTACCATACAGTTCATCGGAGGGAGCGAGAGAGAGGAAGCGAGAAGGAAAGAGAGATATAAAAGTTTGTCAGGTGATTCGATAAGGAATAGCCAATTTAGGAAATACGTATATGAAAGCTCCTTAAAGAGCGTTAAAGTAGATTATATTAAAGAAAAAAATGTTTACCAAAGAAACGATAATTTTAAATGGTACAGACTCTTATGCAGGGCATTGCACTTATGTTACAAGGGGATGAAATCTATGGGAAAGGTCGAAGGGGTTGGCTCGAGCGTGGAGATAAAGCCCTACGCTACTGAACTCTCCGACGTATAATTGACAGCCGGCAAACCAACCGAGCGAGACATCTGGCTGAACAAAAGACGGAGTTGCGAACATTGGGAATGATATGCGTGCTTCAGGGTTCCGAGGGATGTGGGAGAGGTACGCGTCAAATGCAAATTATTTTGACTAATTTCGCGGAAAACTCGAGGGTCCGTCTCTCTCTTACCGTCGTACGTTAAAGCGAAGAGAATTAGAGGGTGTACAAGTCTATCGAGTAGAAGGGTGAGATAAATACATTTACTCAACCCAAGAGGGTGAATCTTCTAGCTCTGTTTTCAAAATACGTAATATATCCCAAGGGTTGATTTCCAAGGGATATCACTTATAGATATGTCTCATACTTGGTCATCCAGAAAAGTTTGCTATCATCCCTTCCCTTATCAGTCTCACGACAGCCCTCGAGTACCCAGGGCGTCGATAAGGGCTCATCGAGTAATCCATAAAAAGAAGAAAAGGGTTGCCTATAAGGGACGTTACTTAGCGAGAGCGATGGGGGTTGATGGCATTTCGTGCGGCTAATGTCAGCGGTCCTACGCCTCTGGCTTCTATGGCATTTCCCTGACCTTTCCAAGCCCTCATGCTTTCATCGAATTAACATCAATCCGACTAGGTATAATATTCCTTCTGAATTAATTACGTAGGGCGTTGGCCCCGGTAGCCGTAGGATCGATTTGCGGCAACGCAATCGTCATCGATACCAAGACCAGGGACGATCGAGCGATTCGACATTTTGCTCTGAGACGCATTAAGGAAAAGTGTTAAGTGCGGAGAAAAAAATGGGAACGTTGATAAAAATCACGACTGGTTCGCCCGCTTGCACTAATTCTTTCCCTCTCGCTCCCACCCACGCGCCTGATACTACCGAGCAACCCTCACGGGCCTACATAGCCGAGCCATTGGTTAGGGGTCAAAGTGGTTGACCGTAGGCAAAGCCGGAAACGGATGTGGCGGTTGGGTCACGCGATCTCCCACGAGTCGAGCATAAAACACCTGAGTTGTTTAATCATACGCTCTCAGGGTGAGCCTTCGCGAACGAAGCTTACCCCCGTAACACTCGTAAGGGTAGCGCACCCAGATTTATTCGATGATAATACACCACAGTGCCCTCTTACACTTATACCTAGACACCCTTAGTTTATCTATTAACAGGCATTCCGCATTACGCGTCTACATTGTTGGATTTAGTTGCTGGAAACCACCCTTAGGTATTAAGCTCTCGTTTGGTCACACGGAAAAGTTCTTATAGTGATAACGATAGCGGCGATATAACTTTGTGCAGCTAGTAACAACCATACTCGTGGATTGAGTAATACGAAATTGGGTTGGTACAATGTTTATGACATTTAAACAATTTTTGTAATTTAAATTCAGAGAGGAACATGTGTAGACGAGAGCACAGAGCACCTACGGTATCTTGGCTTATCACCTTCTCGGTGGGGATGCTGAAAGCTTCTTCGTGCACGCGCAAGCACACTGGTCAACTTTTCCTCCTGCTTCACTTTTGTCTCAATTTCACATAAGAAAAACATTGACCGTGTTTGAAATGTACTTTGGTAATAGGAGTTTGAACGGCTTAATTGTCGATACTCTAAGATAGGCGCTTATCAAATCATCAGTTATACCCTCATTATCAGGTACCAAATATATCTGATAGCAGTGGCAGGCGGTTATCCTTCAAAGTTGAGAGAACTACCAATACCCTAATTGATGGTTTACGTACCTCCTCACGATAAAGTACCAGAACGCCATAATTCCCTAGGGTCTGTTAAAGGGGGTAGCTTAACAGATATGAATTCCAGCGAAGTAGAATAAGAGCAAGACCCGAGAGCGAAGTAAGTTGGGAGTAAAATTCACGTAAGAGTCTCCGGGTCGGCATTAGCCAGGGTGGTAGTGGTGGTGGTTAGCACAATGCAAAGTCAACTTCGCACTAGGTATTCACACCCGACCCCCTTGGCTCTCGTCTCGGGTAGGTGGGCGGCCATTTTGTTTCCGGTGTCCCGGGGCTACTTCCGGTCAGCGTCACGCAGTCCCGAGTCGCAGAGTGGACGGAGCTGCCGGAGTAGCTACCTCTTGAGATCTCCTTTCACGATTATATTCAAATTAAATGCAGACTCTAACCGGTAATATACTGCCGCCAATTTAGCTACAACCCCCTGCGGTCCGTGGAAAGGGATACAGCCTGTTCTGGATGTGGGGCTGGTTTACCTTACTTGGATCACAACTGTGTGAAATTCTTCCGGGGGAATTGTTACGTTTTATCTGGCAAGACACGAGACTCCCTACTCAAGTTCTCGACGCCATTAATTTATCCTTTTACACCCTCATTTCTACCCTTCATCCCTTAACGCTCCGAGTACCGCGCCCGATGATAATGATTTTAATAACGCGATTAACTGCTGGAAATCACAAGTTAATTCATCTCCATATTCCCGGATAAAGGGGTTGATGCCGCAAAGGGGATCGCGTTCTTTCGTATACCGGCGAAATGACAGTGCGCCCAAATATTCGTGTTTCGCACGTTTTCGAAGTTTCGGTTTGATTTCCAATTTTAATGCAAAGCGACGCGTTAATGCAAGGCTGACGCCGAAGTCCTCGTTGCATCAGCAGGATGCAGTAGCTTTGTGTCACCGGATAACCTAGAATCGCGTTGCCTGGCTCTCTGGTAGCGATACACCTTTTCCTCCCTTCGTTCGTCCCTGTTGGTCGCTGAACCCTCGTATAGCATAGCTGCGTACTACCCCATAGCATACTAGACTGTTAGCAATATCAAATCCCTTTCCAGCATCCCTATCGACGTTTTCATCATTCCCTCTGTTACATACGATACTGCCCTTCATACGAGCTCCTCGTCGATTATAAATTAATACCATTGAATATCGTATTGCATTGGTGAATTAATTTATCTTTTTTTTTCCTCTTCGTCTTTCCTACGGTTTACAGGACAAAAACACGTAGGGCAGTTTAACCAGCACTGAGTCGAACGAGTGAATAATATCTGTACTGCACTTTGAAAGGGAGTCAATATTCAGAGCTTGATCTTCATGCTTTTGATGCTGACAATACCCCAATGCACGATTTGCCCTAATAAAACTGTGATCGCTGGATAAAACAGCGCAGTGCATGCTGGTAATTAGCGGTATACATAAATCATTGGGAACGGTGCACGTTAAATGCATACACACACGCCAGCACGTAGCCCATTACCAGCCCTCACAAGTCAGGCAAACGAGTATAATGTGTAACGCAAACGTAACCGCAAACTGCCACAGGACGAGTTCTTCTACGTGCCACCCTGGTAGGCAGGCAGATAGGTAGGTCCTGAGCTTCGATTTTTAGACAGCCCTGGCGCTGAGTGTGGAGCTGCAGAGAAGATGGTTGTACCAACCAAAAGATACTTAAGGGTAGAAAACAAAATGCGGGTAAGACAGACAAAGGACCTTGGTGGAAAAACGACCAGGAGGAAACAACCCTTAACGTCGGAATTAATTCATAGCCGACGTCCTAGCTAAGCTCTTGGGTTTTTGAAGGGCCGTCACGCAAAGTGATAGTTTAATCTCCAGTTTAAAGCCGGGCTAGAGAATAGGCACGCTTAAGCCACGCCATATTTGACAGAGGGAGGGTTTACTGCTGCTTTATAATAGCTCCTACCATTATGAATTATATCTTCTATTGTTTTCTCTTTCGGTTTAACGTTCTGACAGTGACGAATTCGCCGAGCAGAAGAGAGAAGATGAAAATCAAACAGTTGTTTCAGGTCGCTGGTAGATTAGTGGCGATGCGTGCTACCAGGACTGGCAAATGAGTATGTGATATAACCGTGCCGAATAATCGAGAATAATCGTGGATAATAATTGGCAATAATCATGGGTCGTGTGCGTAGTAGGTACTTTCTGGTAGAGGGTATC